CATCCCTGGGCCGGGGACACGGCCACGTTTGGCCAGGACATGGGATGGACACAAGCCCCCATCCAGGACCCCATCCCAGCACAGCTCCAGGCAGGACCCTCGTGGGCGCCTGCATGCACAGACGTCCCGGAAAGCCTCGCCAGCGCGCAGCATCGCTGTCCTCCGGTCTGGTTCTCATTTGAGGTCGGTGGCCTCTCGCCAAATTTATTGTAAAACATTCATTTTAATAATTGGCTCATATCTTTTTTTTTCCCCCTTTTCTGTTAATCCCAGCCTGGTTAACTGTTTCCAGGTTAAAGCAGAGAGTGAGTGGCACGGGTGGTGGGGATGGCAGGGATGGGGGGACATTAGGGATTGGATGTCAGGCAGGTTGCTGGGGACACATTCCAGCCATGGGGAGGACACCAGGGCACACCTTGGTGATGCCAGGGTGGGCGCAGCTGCTTGGTTCCCAGTCTGCAAAGCCCAATAGAGCTGAGACCCTCATCCTCATCACCCCAAGCCTTCATCCCCTCCAGGTCCCCAGGGAGCCCAAGCACCATATTGCCACACTGATCCCAGCATCCAACTAACCAAGGCCCCAAAACCCAGCCAGGAGCAAAGCTGGGGACATGCTGGCACCAGCGGTTGAGATCCTAGGGTGTGGGTCAGGGACCCCCAGGCACGTCCATGCAAATCCCATTAAAACTTAACCCCGATGGGTAACGGGTTGTGCTGAGCATCCGAAGGGCTCATGAAGTGGACAGTGCCTGGTAGTTTAGTCCCGACAATTGTTTTAGGTTTTATAAACCTCTAATAGTAACAGAACTGTTTCGGTGTCTTTTAATTTAAATGAAAACAGTGATTTTTTTTTCATTTAGAAACTCCCCTGAGGTATTTACAACCCCAAATTACAGCCATGTGGCCGAGAAAGTGAAACCGGTGAGGAAGGAGCGTGGCCACCGCCCCAAACCCAGCACAGCCCCGAGCAGCACCGCGCCAGTGGCCGTCCCCACATCACCCGTGCCCCCTCAATAGCACTGCATGGATGGACTCTGCTTCACACCTTAGCTGGGGATATGGGGTCCCCACCCGGAGCTGCCATCCATGGCATCCTTAAGTCCTTCTTCCTTTTTTGTCCTTTCCTTTCCCTTCCCTCTCCTGGACCCACATCAGGAGAGGCAGGAGGAGCCCCACAGCACCAGTGGGTTTGGAGATAAGAGCCCATTGTCCTGCCCTGCACCCTCCTTAACTCTGCTGCTGCTGGACCAGGGTCTTTGATACGTGCGGGATCCCCTGTATCACCACTGCAGCATCACTGCTACTGCTGCCCCAAACACCCGCCCAGCAGCAATACAACAGCCCCCAGACCCTGAATGCCCTGCATGGCTCAGGGAGCAACACAACCTGAGGTATAGCACAATTCCCCCACATCACTCCAGGTACAGTGCCACACTGTCCTTCTGCAATGCTCTCTACAGCTTGGGGTGCAATATAACCCCCCCTCATATACACTTTGCATTGCCCTCTACACCTTGGGATGCAAAGCAATCCCCATCAAGCAACATGCTACATGACCTGTGCTACAACGCAGTCCCCCTGCACAACCCGGGGTACAATACAACCCCCTGTACAACTCGGGGTGCATCCCAACCTCCCCACCCATGCCCCGCACACCCACGCATGTCCCGCTGCACCAACCCCGCATCTCAGCCCTGTACCGGGGCTGCTCCCCGCAGCTCAGTTCCCATCGCTATGAGGAGGGCCAGGGGCTGTGCCCCCTCCCCATTGCCCCACTCCCACCGGCGCTGCCATGTGCTCCCCGCTGCTCCCCCGGCTCCCCTGCCATGTGCACTCCAGTTTCCTTGCGTGTGAAGCCTGCAGCCTCTCGGATTCAGTGGCTGGAAAGGATGGCGCCTCTCCACATCTGGTTCAATGCGCGAGCCTGGCGCCTGGCTTAGCCACAGTCTCCATTCAGAGACACACAGACTTTAATAGACTCATACAATTCTTCCTGATCTATCACTGCAGCCGCAGCTGAAAAGCTGCTTTATTATATGCGCTCCAAAGGGGGATGAGGAGGGAAGGGGAGGGGGCCGCCGGCTGGCGCTGCTGCTCTCTGAAGCCTCCCTGCCTGCCCCACATCCCCCCCGGGACCTGAGTTGCCCCCCGGGACCTGAGCTGCCCCCCCAGCCCTGCCCTGGCTTCCAGGCACTGTTCTCCCTCCAGCCCCAGGGTGAAGGAGCAGCTCTATGGCCTCATTACACCTCCTGCTCCATCAACACCACCACCACCCCCCCAAGCTGCCCTTTGCACCCTGGATGGGGCAGTCCCAGCAGAGCTGCTGGGGATGGGGGTGACAAAGGGGGCTCCATCTGTCCCCCTTATATCCCCAAAGAGGTGTCAGTCCCCACCAAGCTGGGACGATTTCCCCCCAACCCATCCAACATCAGTCTCCCATTTACCCCACAGCTCCCTGCTAGGGGATGTGCACGCAGCACGGGATGCCCATGGGCAAGGGGCTGGAATCAGATCCTCCCATACCCCCAGAGATGTTCCCAGCAGATCCCAGTGCTGCGGATGGTTTTCCCAAGGGAAGCACAGCATCCAGCGAGGGATGCTGAGTATGGATGGAGCCATTTCATTACGCCATGGGAAGGCTGGAAAACATTCCCCACAGGCACGTGTGTCCCTCGGGCGAACACGAACGCTGGGAATGCCTCAAGGGTGAGGGTGGGATTTTTCTTTTAATTCCCAGAAATCCGGGGGCATCCAGTGAAAACCAGCCCAGTTCTGCATGAGAAAAACACCTCAAAACCCCAGATCAGCCCAACCCAATGAGGGCTTGCTTTCCCCATCCTCCCTGACCCAGCTGAGCATCACTGGTCCTGTGCAGGCACTGGGACCAGGCAGGGGATAACTGCCTCTGCCCATCAGGCTTTCACCCTCTTCCCATTGCCTTTTCCAGCCAGGAATAAAGAACAGAACTGCATTAATCCTGGTCTATATCCTTGCCTAGTCCCAGCCGCAACCCACTGCCCAGCATCTGGAAGGATGCTCTGAGCCTGCTCCATGGTTCAGGGATCCCATCCTGCGAGGGTACCTGGTGCCAGCCTGGGGATCCCGAGCCTCTGCCATCCCCAAAGCACCCAGGTCCCATCCTGCTTCAAACCTCATCCCTCCTGCTCTGTGATTTTACAGCTCGAGGGGGATAATTCCCTGGGGCCGGAGGAAATCAGCCCTGGGAGAAGAGGTGATCCCGCTCCCTGGGAGAGAGGAGGGTTTCTAATGAGACAGCCTCAAAGCCCCAAATCATTTCATCAGCCTCCCAGCTCCAGACACACGCCCAGGCTCTCTTAAAATGCTGATTCGTTGAAATTGGCCCCATCTTGGCTGCACGGAGTCGAAATTTCATATTTTTCCTGTGAATCAGCCCCGTTCCCTGAAATAACAGCCCAAAAGGAGAGGGGAAATAGTCTTGCACTGAGCTGTTCCTGGTCGAGCTAGACATAACAGCCCAGGGGGGACAGCAAGGTGTCCCCATGCCCTGGCACCCTATTGGGCTGGGCAATGGGGTATTTGAGGGGCTGTTGGGGCTTAGAACACATCAGTGGGTGCTGCTGGGGCTCACAAGGGAGTGGGGCAAAGCTCTGTGTCCCCAGTGCAGGTGGGACCCCTGCGCTGTCCCCTTCAGACCACGCTCAGCAGCGGCTCTTGCGACTCTGCTCCATGTTCCTGCACCTTTCCCTGTTGGAAACAAGGGTGGGAATGAGCATTCCCCGCAGCAACGCCTGCCAAACCCCAGCTCACTGGGTGTGCTGAGGGGAGGAAAATCCCAGCAACGGGAAGCGAGGGGGGAAAGCGGTTTTCCTGCCCTCCTGTCCCAGCCAAGGCTGCTCCGGCTCTCAGGGTCCCATCTCCCCAGGCCCTGGTTTGGGGTTTTCATTCTCTTCACCCCTTGGCAGAGGCTCCCAGCACAGATCAAGCACGTGTGGGGACCCCGCAGAGCCCTGCGCACGCTGCACAGGACGTGCTGGTATGTGTTTCCCTGCGCCCCTGGGGAGGGCTCTGCGCTAACAGCGCTGCTTCCCGGGGCTGCACAAGCTCCAGCTCCAACCCAAAGCCCCCCCCCAAGGCTGCCGTAGGGGGAGCCTGGAGCCCAAGTGGGGATGTTCACCCCATATGGGGACAAATCTCCCCCAAATCGGAGCCCAGATGCCACCAGTAAGAGCCCGGCTGAATCCCAGGGGCAGAACATCCTCCTAGTGCATGGGGAGGAGCGGGATGCTGCACGGGTGTCACTGCAGGAGAAATGAGATGGGGAGCGGGTGTCATCATGCGGAGGAGCGGGATTCTGGCTGGAAGGCACAGGGAAGCACAGAGCAGTGGTACCAAGGGGTGCCCCATGGCAGAAGCCTCAGGAGACCTGAGCTTTTGACCTGATTTGTGCTGCTCCATCTGCTTTTGGCAGGGCTGTGACCTGACCCAGCCTCTTGTCCTGCCTGTGCTATGGGAAAAGCATCACTCCCAAACGTCCTCCCTATCATGGTTTTTGGATGGGCGAGACCTGCGGAATCAGTTCCCCCTCATCCATGGGACATGGGACCAATGTCCTGTGACAGTGACACAGAGCCATAGGAGGGGGTGTCCCCAGTAAGGAAGCGGGCAGCTTGGCTGCAGGGATCATGCTGCAGGTTGGGGCTGTCTCTTGGTCCCTGCAGCAGCCCAGAGAGGTGTGTGTGGGGGGGTCTTTCCCCATATCCCCGTTTCATCCTCACTGGGATACACTGGGATACACTGGGATACACTGGGATACACTGGGATACACTGCGCTCCCTGCGAGCGGCTGGAAACCGTCTGGGCGAGCCGGGACACGTCAGGCTCCTCATCCATCCCTCGCCTGTCGCCAGCCTCGCACTAAGCGCAAACAAATGTGAGGGTGGGAGGCGGGCCGGGGCGGAGCGCTCCCGCCCGGATTAATTGGCGCTTACTCAATCCCTGCTGATGGATGCTGCGCTGGGGACCTGCCAGTGTCAGGCACTGGGCAAGTGCTGGTCTTGGACACAAGGTCCAGCGGTGCTGTTCTCTCTCCTGGAGACCATCCTGCTCCAGCAGCCCCGTGGGCACCGTTCCTCTATGGAGATAAACCCCTTGTCTTGGGGTCTGCAGCCCTCAAAGCCCTCCAGGCAAGGAGATGTCTCCAGGTAGGTGCTGGGAGCAGTGAAGGTGATGTCTGGTCACTGAGTGTCATGGCTGTGCAAGGTGGCTCTCATCCAGGTGCCACCCATGCTGGCTGTGCTGGCCTTACAAGGACTGACATGGTTTGCTTCCCCCTTGCTTCAGATGCCACCTCCCAGCTCTGCCACACAGGGACTGTCCCCAACAAGGGCCCTGCCAGCCTGGGAGGGTGACAGGGACAGGGACTCCTGTTCTGGGGATGCAGCAAGGGGCTATGGGTGCTGTAAGCCCTGCACCCCAGCCTTGCTGTGCACCAGCGGGTCGTGTTCAACTGCATCCCAACCTCATCCCCCAGCCAGGGCAAGCAGGACACGGTGCCCCCCTGAGCAGCAGGGACCCCTCCTGTCCTCTTCTTTGGGGGGACAAAAGTGTGAGAGCCTCTCCTTGGACAGCTGCACCCATGTCCATCAGACACTTCTCAAAGACTCTTCCCTACCATGGGAGGAAATTTGGGGTCCCAGCATCCCTGTCCTTCCCTGAGATGTCACCCCAAAACAACGGAAAGCCTCCCAGCAAAAGGACTTGGGGGGGTTCCAGCACTTTTGGGGCTGTGGAAAGCAGATGGGAGAGAGGGGTCTGATGGGTCTGGAGTTACAGGGCAGGGGGGCCTCAGCCTTGCTGGCTCCAAGGGTCTGTATTACCCTGAGGCAAGCACAGGGGGTTGGCCACGGATTAATGACATCGGGTTTAATTGCAGCCAAGCCATGTACGTGCACGGATGTCCCAGCGAAGGCAGATCCCTATGGGCACGTCCCAGCCCTGTTTCAGCAGTTGTGGTGTTACAGGGCTGCCTCCTGCCCATGCAGCCGAAGGGGCCAAGGCATCCCTGAGCTGTGCCCCTTGTTTGACAGGGATGAGTGGCATTTGGGAAGGCAGAGAGGTGCAGATGAATTGTGTCCTGTGAGCCAGGACCAGCACAGCCCCTGGGCCACCATGGGGGCATTGACTGGGATGCCCCTGCCTTGGGGAAAGTGCCTGAGCCCTGGGAGCAGCTCAGGACCGTTTGGGGCAATCAGACGCTGCTTGACGCCAAAAGCAAGCCCCTTCCTCTTTCCCACTCTGTTACCAGGTCCCTGCCCCTCCCTTTTCCCTTTCCAACTGCCCTCATTTATGTAATTAAAACCAATTTGCTGTAACACCATCTTAATCCCCTCTGCCCGCTGGGTGCAGCTCTCCTATCACTTCATCACTGCTCTGCTCAGCCTCAGCACAGGTCGGAGGGTCCCGGCTGCCCTGGGGGTGAGGAAAGGGCCCCAAGAGCCCTTTCAGTTTGAAGAGCTCTGCAAATGGGATGCCAGGGGCCATCACACGTCCCCATCCCACTGCCTGCTCCCACCGAATGGGCAATGCCTGCCTGCCCCATGCCGGAGGATCCCTTTGGAGGGTCTGCAGCCCTTCCTCTGAGCCCAGCTGTGACAAAAGTGGCTCTTTCTGACTTTACAGCCCCGAAGCTGTTGCCGGAGCCAGCGCCCGGCTCCCTCTCCCATCCCCAGGCGGCACCAAAAGTAAGTTCATTGTTTGAAAAGCCATCAGTCAAGGCCTGCTGGCTAAAATTACCCTCCTGCTTTATCATCTTGAGAACATTAAGGGCTGTTGTTAACAGATGTTTCGCGTTACACATTATTTGTTAGTCTAATGAAAGGAGGTGAACAAGCTTTCAAGACCTCAGAAGTTGTGCCGAAGGTTTTCGATGGGAGGCTGCTGCACCGCTGCAGGGCAGGATGAAGATGAGCATGGGGACCAGCCTTTGCCACCCTGTTGGCATTTCCACACTCTGGCCTCACTTGTGTGATTCCTGTCTCTTAATTTCTGGGTCTCACGAGAGCAATGCGTTGCAGGGGTATTTGTATCCTCACACCAGGATGTGCTGGGTGCTCTCAGGGCCAGGCTGGGGATGGGACCAAGCAGCTCCCTTGGATGGAGAAGATGAGGACAGCTCTGGTCCTCAGTGCCAGTGGGAAGGGATGTGCCAGCCTTGTGAAGAGAGATGGGGAGATGGAGATAGAAAGCGGGGTTCTGGGATAGGGATGGTGAGTGAGGGCAGGAGAGAGTTGAATCCCCCTCTGCAAAGAATAACCCCCTGCCCCAAGCTTCTCTGGCTCTGCCAGCCTTGGGAACAGAAGCCTCCTCCTGCTGCGGCTGCCTGGGGAAGGAGAGAGCGGTTTGTGGAGGTCGCAGTCTGCTGGGCACAGCCTAAAGCATCCCTCTGCCAGCTCTGCCCCTGGATCACAGTGAGCCCTGCCTGCTGCAGGGGGTGCTGGCAGCTTCGGGGCTGCTCTTCCTCCAATCCACCGGTGCGATGACCCTGCTAACAGCAGAGCCACATCCTGCAGAGACACACTCGGGTACCAGGATCCGTTTGCATTGGTAATAAACCCCCTACAACCGACCTGCGGAGCTCCAAACTCACATCTGGCAGAAGAAGCCCACAATGGTGAAGAGGAAGATGAGAGAAAACGCTGAGAGGCTGTTTTACTTTAGGATGCCAATAAAAGATAACATTGCCAGTAAAAGTTCCTCTGCTGTCATCACGCTGATGCCGAAAGCATCGCAGATGTGTAGCAAAAGGCTGATACTCACAGACAGGGCATTTGCCTGGTATTTGGAGTCTTCCCATTTCAATTTAGGAAACTGCACCCCAATTAAGCCTGTGGCAGTGGGTAGTGGGTCTCACAAGTCAATGTTTGCACGTGGGCTTTCTTGTTTCCTTGTTCTCTTCTTGCCTGCTGCTCTCAGCCCTCGGTATTTCTCTTTCCAGGTGGGATCAGAGGGGGAAACGCTTCCACTCCTGGACAGGCTGTTGGAGCATCCCACATGCTGATGGTGTCTTCATCCCTGCAACCTCGCCGAAACAGGTGTCAATGGGAAATATCCCCCATGGTCCAGCAGTGTTGGGATCAACTGGACAAACCCCATAGGGCCTCTGCCAGAGGTGGAATGGGCTTTTGGGGTGAGAAAAGGGCTTGGGGGGATCAGACATCCCCGTTGCCTCTCCTCTCTGGTATTTATCATCCCTGGTACCCACTGAGCCTCTCGGGTGCGGTAGGAGCTCTGCAGGGTGGTAGTTTCTCTGTTGTTTTGCAGATCACCCTTGTGAGCTGAGCTGGTTGCGTCGGGCTGGGCTGCGTTTCCCAAAGCTGCACTGATCCCACACAACAGACTGTCCCCCGTATGGTCCCATCGGCGGGTGGAAACCTCCCCGCAGTCCCAAAGGCAGTATGAGAAGTACAAACAGAACTCATGAGAAGAGAAGGGAGGATGGAAAATAACGCCCAAAATACCAGCTACACCATCCTGAACGCAACACCCAGCCTCACTCAGCCCTCAGCATCCCAAGCAGAGGCAGGTTGGGGCTCAGGGGGTTTCTCGGTGCAGGAAAGTGGTTGTGCAGAGGTTGGACAGTGGGTGCAAGAAAGGTGCTTTAGATCTGTGTGCCACGGGAGGGGACAGAGGGAGCCCCTCACCGCAGGTCTGGGCAGCACTGATGCCCCTGTGGACTGTGCAGCCTGGCCGGGCTGTGCTTCAAAGGGCTGCAGAAAACAAGCTTCGGGGTACCAAAACCCAGCCGGGAGGCAGGTTTTGGGGGTGTCACCCAAGGGCGCCCTCGGGGTGGGCACCTCCACCCCACGTTCTGCCTCCCCTCGCCTGCTCCATTCGCTGCTTTGCCGCAAGGACGAGGCGAATCCTCCTCGCCGCAGCCCCGGGCACCGGAGCAGGAAGGGATGCGGAGCTGGCGCAGGGATGCGGGCAGGAGGGTTCTCCCGTTAAAATCGTGCCTCTTGCCAGGACCGAGCGCCACGAAGCCGGGTCCCGGGTCGACCCCCGACCCCTTTCCCAGCACCAGTTCTGTCCCCGTCTGCCGGTTGCTGCCGGTGCTACCGGATGGGAGCCGCTTACTGCGGCCGCCGGGAGCGGGCTCTGCATGTCCCGGTTCCCGTGACCCAACCGGGCCGCCTTCACTCCCCAGGCCTGGAAACAGAGGCGGAGACCCCCGGGGAACGGGGGGACCCCGCAGGCCGCGCAGCCCTGGGGCACACCGGCAGCCCGGGACCGGCCCGTACCCAGCATCTCCGGCGCTAGCGGGGAAGCGGCCGGTGCGGGGTCCCACTCCGCTGTGCGGGGTCCCTGTGTCCCAGTGCGATGTCCCCGTCCCCTGACGAGGGGTTCCTCCGCCCCGGCCGTCGCGGTGTCGGCACCCGCACACGGGTCACCCCTCTTCCCCACCCGCTCCTCCGGTGCCCCCATCCCCGCCGCGGGGCGAAACCGACCCCTTTTATCCGCGGGGCGACGGCGGGGACACCCCATCCCCAAAGCTGCCCCAACCCGTTTGGGGGGGGCCCATGCACTCACCGTCCTGGGGCGCTGCCTCGCTGCCGCTGCTGCCTCCCGACGGCTCCGGCATGGCCTTGCCGCCACCGGCGGGGGGGGGACCGGCCGGAGGGGTCCCGTTCATCCCGGCCGCTACCTCCTCCAGGTCGAGGAGGTGGCTCACGCTGAAGTTTTTCCGGCTTTGAGCGTTTTCGGGCGGCTCCGGGCCGCGCACGGCGCTGGGGGCGAACGGCTTGTCCATGGCGAAGGCTGGCGCCGAGTCCATGGCTCCCACCCCCAGCCCGCAGCCCACCCCGAGGTGCCGGGCCGCTCCCGGCCCCCTTCCCCTCCCACCCCCCCTAAAAATAAAAAAAAAGAAAAAAAAAGAAAAAAAATTATAATTATATATTTTTTTCTTTTAAAAATGGGGAAAAAAAATAAATCGCGGCTGCCCTGGGAGCCCGGCTCCCTCCCCAGCCCCTGTTCCGCCTTGTGCTGACGTCTGGGGAAAAAACCACGCTCCCAGCCCAAACTTTCTTCCCCTGCTCTTTGCTCTGGAGCTGTTCAAACAAACGCCCCTGCTCCGAGCAGAGCGGGGCGGCCCCTCGCCCCCCCCGCCCCGGCACGGCGACCTGCCCCCCTGCCAGGGGCCGAGCACCGCCGGCAGCCAAGCCGCGGAAAGGGGAAGGGGGGGGACACAGGGAGGGAGACCCGCTTGCCCCCCCCCTTACCCCATCCACATCATTCCCCCCCCCCAAGTTCTGCTTTAAGTGCTTCTATCAACAAGTGTAAGTGGCTGCGCTCCGTGGGGACGGATGGGGGGAGAGGAGCTGGGGAAACCCACTCCCAAATGGGGCTGGAGGGAGAGGTGACCCGTAGGTTAGAGGGGGCACACGGCCCCCCTCCACCTCCAACCCCCCCCGCTTTAACCGGTCCCCATCAACCCCGGAGCAAGGTCACCTCTCCTGGGAAAAGCCTGGCTCTCTCGCCTTAATGAGATAATTACGTCCTGCACCACAGTTAAAAACTCATAGGCTGCTTCCCTTGGGGTTAGAAAGAAACCTCCCTAATGAAAACCAGCCACCGGCAGAGGAAAAAAGGGAGTTTTCCTCTTTAAAAATGGTATTTGTATATAGAGATACATGCACAGGGGTGGGAGAGAGGGGGGCTTGTTGCCGGTGTCCAGGAAGGGCTGGGGGGAACGGGCTATGAGCAGAAATGAGAGGTGAACGGTTCCGATTCCCCCCTCCCCGGTTCCAGCCGCGCTCTGCCGCCCGGCGCTGCAGGCACATCTGGACGGGGCTGCGCGCACGCAGGGTTCAAGCCCACATCTCGGAGCGAGATGGGCCGCTCGCTGCAGCCCAGCTCTGAGCTCATAAACATCATCCCCGCTCCAGCGCGGCCGAGGGAGGCAAACCCCTGCCGGAGTTATTTTAACATTTGTCGAAAGCTTTTCTTGCGCTCTCTTCCCCTTCAAGTCGGAGGCGTGCGGGCTCCGAAGCCAGCCAGCGCTGCCAAATCTGATCTTCCTGACGGGGAAGCAGCTTCCCAGAGCTCTCCAGCTTGGAAGGGGTGTAGCTGAAGGCAGATTTTGGCTCTCTCCGACTCCGCGGGGGGCTCCTCGAGTGTGCAAACAAGCCAGCCCAACCTCCCTTCCCCTCGCCTGCTTTTCTGGGGTCCGTTTATTGGCCCAGTTTATTGGCCCTGGTGGCACTTTAGGAGTCAGCTCCGCTGTCTGGTCCTGCCGCCTCGGCTGTGTAAATCACAGGGCTGGCTGTCACACCACGGTCTGCTCCTGCTTCCCTTGGGCTGCTCCCCATGGATGGGTGTTTTACTTCTGCCCAGCACCCAGCTGGATGGGTCCCCGGTGGTGCGTGGTGCTAGGGTGATGCTGTGCACTGTGGTTATGCGTTCAATGGGTTTATTAGAATATAGATGGTATCTATCATATATTATATTGCATAGATTGGATATATGGCCATCAGCCCTCCTGGTTCTCCCTGCTCTTGGGTGGGAAATGCCTTCATCATCCTCAGGACCCCCAGACCCTGGGGGACCCAGCACAGCCTCATGCCACCCTTCCTTCAATAGGTACCCACTTGATCCTACTTTTTGTCACCGTGGCTGCAGGTACGGACCCTTCCCAGGATGGGGATGGTGCCATGTCCAGGAACACCTCATGGACCAACCTTGGGGATGGAGACTTCCCCTTGGATGACACTGACCCATTGGTGATGCCCACTGGCCACTCAGCATTACCAGGGGCCTGGAGCAGCGAGAGCCCCCCATTCCTTCCCCAGCATTCCCCCTTCACCCCAAGGCTGGGAACATCTTGCTGTGATTATTTTGGGGTGGGGGCAAGGGGTGGTTGGTCTTGGCCTATGAAGGGGTGAGGGCAGGAGGGTGGATGGAGCAGCCCCAGCCCCATTTATAACCCTCTTCCTCCTCCTTGTTCAGGGCCAGACCTTATTCTTGAACTGTCTGGCTTTTCCAGGGGAGACGGCTTTCCCTCGGTTCACGGCATTAAATAATTAAATGGAGGGAATAATCGTCGGTGAAACCCCCTTGGGTTCGCACTTCCTCGGGCCCTGTGATTGCTGATATTTTTTTGGGTGAAATATGACCTTTTTTATGATCAAAGGGGTTCCGAGTTCCAAAGGAAAGTTAGAAAAAAGAAAAGAGGGGCAAGCGTGTTCCTTTTTTTTCCCAATCCTCGCGGTCTGGTAAAGTTTCTTTAGACACGCAAAGATTTACACACCTTTCTGCAGGGTGCCTTAAATTACCCTCCGACTCTTTACACATTTCCATGAGCAGAGCAAGAACAGTAAGTCATTGAGAAATTAACTGGCCTTTCAGTAATATCCCCTGTCGGCCTTTCAGAAGGGGAATGTCTAATGACTTTTTTGAAGTAGAGGTCAGGCTTTGCTTTTTTTAAATAAAACAATCTGTATTAATGCAATTTCCTTTTTAGCTGCAGGATTTGCCCTTTCCCCCCCTCTCCCCCCCCCCCCTTTCCCCCTTCTTCTTTCAGCATCATTCCTTTTTAACTCCCCCAGCCACACAAGGCATCCGAAGCGAGACCCGGTTGTTTGAACCCCCCCCCTTTCCTGCTGTTTCCTCACCCTCTTGTGCAAGGTCTTCTTGGGGTGTTTTTGGGGGGTAAAAAACCATATCTTTAAGGTGGTTCAAACTGGATCCTGGAGCTGGGAAGGGCAAAACAGGGATGGTTTGGACAACCCCAAACAGGGATGCTTTGCTTGATGCTATGTGCCTGGGTTTTGCTGAGTCTGATGGACCAGAGCTGGCAAGGCTGTGCCAGGCTCCTCAGGGATTTATGTGGCCAGAGCCTTCCAGGTTCACAGCCCTTGGGATGAATGTGTTTCTGTTTGTCAGTCCTTCATCTTCTTCTCTTTTAAGGAAGAAAGGAGATCTATTTTGGGAATGTCACTCCGTGCCCTCCTAGGGGTTTCCTGACATTGCTCTCAGGCTCTGATAACATCTCAAGCTTCCACAGTGCTCACCATGGATCCGGATGCGCTCTGCCAGCCTCAGACCTCCTCCTCACCCCCAAAATGCGGCGGTAGCTGGGGTGTGATGGGGCAGCATCCTTGGAGCACTGCTTGGGCTGGCGCTGCTCCCTTCAGTCCCTGTGTGCTCGTTCTTCGTATTCCCAAAATGTTGCCCTTTGGTTATTATACTGTGGAGAAACTGGGCTGTCTGACTCATATTCCCCATGGGTGCAAGGGGGTTTCTTACTATAGAGATGCTCCTTTGCTCCACCATAATTGGGATAAGGCAATAGTATGGAGTATGGGAGACAGTGGGCCTTGGTGGTACCAGGCCAGGACCCAGTCACTGGCTCTTGGAATGAATGACTGGGGGTCAGTCCCTACCTGGCTCTGGGAAGCAGGACTGCCTGCCCCATCTGTTCCAATGGGATCTGTGCCCAACGCCATGCCTTGGCAGGGCTGGGGACCAGAGATCCCCATCCTGCCCCATCCCAAAGGGCACTGCTGTGGTTCCCAGCAGGAATGGTATTTCTCTATCATCTGCTGAGCAGTTCCTCTTTCTCCCTCCATTGCTGCCAGACCCCAAAGGCGCAGCATGCCCTGGGCTAGCTCCTCTCCTCCGCTCCCCTCCAGCTCTCACAGCTCCCCCCGTTCCCTCCTAGCTCCTTGTCTCTGCGGTCGGTGGCATTATAAAACACACAGCCAGGCCCTTGGTGAAGGGTTTTTCTCCCAGCTTTCTTATTCCCTTTGCTTCTGCCTCTTTCTTTTGCTCTTTCTTTCTCTCCTTCTTTCTTTCCCTGCCAGGAATCCCAGTCCCAGATGAACCAATGCTCCGTGGCTCTGCTATTTCCCTTTTATTCCCCCCCTCCTCCTTCAACAGCGAGATGGGAAAAGAGTGAACTAAGGAAAAAAAAAAAAGAAAGAAAGAAAGAAAGAAAAAAATCAAAGCTGCACATATTGGATCCAGATGTGCGTGCAGCCCTTTCCAGCAATTTAATTAAATTCCCCCAGACAGCCAGGAGGATTTCTTAATGATCAAATTTCCCTGGCTTTCCTCCTAAAATGCCCCTCTTTCTTCGGCTGGCTCTTGCTCTGTCTCCCTGATGGATAGCCAACTCGCATTCTTCCTAGGCCGCCCCGCCAAGGCGATGGGGAGGAAGAGGGCAGATCCTGACGCTGTTGTAGCTGGGTGCTCGAACGCCCCAAACGACCACACCAGCGACCATCCCTATTCGCAAAATGGGTTTTTTTCACCCAAGAAACGTGGGGATGGGGAAGTCACCTCCCTGGAGGCTGTGGTTCATGGCATGGGCATGGCAGGACCACGGCAGGGATGCTCCAGAGAAGGGCTCTGGTGTGCTGATGGCCAGGGAAAGGTGTCAGCGCTTGGGTCTCTGGGCTTGGAACCTCCCCAAGATGGTTTGAAGCAGGGTTTGGCCCCCACTGCAACCCCAAAGCCTTCTTTCTAGGCAGGGGGGGTTATAGGGGTGGGAGCAAAGCCTCCATAAGGCTTAGAGGAAATGGTTGGGCTTGCAGAACCCTTTGGGGCAGCCTGGTGGCACTGGTGTGACCCACACTTACCAGCCCTCCTTTCCCAGCTAATGGTGGGGAGTGCAGAGGGGATTTACCCCTAGAGCAGGGTCTGGTAGAGGGCTTGACAGTGGCATGGTCCCCATGGGTGCCATGCAGCCAGGGACGGTGACAGCGCCTGGTGCTGGCCCCCTGACTGCAGAGGGTTTACTGGAGTGTGGAGTGCTTTACTGGCACCATGGCGAGTCCAGGTCTGGGTTTACCCATCCACCGGTGGCACTGAGGTGCCATTGGGACCGGATCAAGAGGCCTCAGCTGCCACGGGGTTCCCTTGGCTGGGCTGGTTTGAAGCCAACTCATAGGGCATAAAGCACCCTCCATGTGAAGGGGGCAATTCTCACTCCCCATTGCTCTTCCTGCTGCCTTTCCCCTCCAAGCCCAGCCAGGGTGCTTGGATGGGGTCATTCCCACTCGCACTCAGGATGGCACGGGGATGACGCCCCCCCAACCCTATCCACGGTGGGAGCTGCTGGGGGAGTCCACACAGCACCAAGTCCCTGTGTCACCAGGAACCAGCACCCACTCTGCAAAGGGGATGGAACCCCCAGGGGGCTGCAGACAGGGGGGGTCCTCCACTTTGTGTGGGGAAGGGAAGGGTGGGAAACAGAGGGGGGAACTGTGACAGCATGTCAGAAAAATGCCCAAGCGGGGCGGCCTCCTGGCCCCCTGTGCCCCCGGGCCACGGCTGCCTCCTGGAATCTGGAAGAGCTCCATCAGAATAACATAAATACGTAAATAGGAAACCCAAGGCAGCTTCAGTCAGCGCCGGCTCTGCCGAGCTCCCCGCGCCTGCAGTTCCACCGGGGTAGCAGTACAAAACCATGCTGATGATGCTGATAAATCCCGGGGTAACGCTTCCTGCAGGAGCTGTTCCAGTAGGGAAGGGGCTGGCAGCAGCACCCGAGTCCCCCCCAAGCCCCGGAGGGCAGCACCCATTCGATGCCACCTCCCCAGACCCCCAGCTTGCCCCGGATGGGGACGAATAGCCGCGGTGGGGGTGTTCTAGGGAGGGGAACTGGGTTGGTGCATGGGGCTGCACGATCACATCGTGCACCCACCCATAGCGAGGGGTTGCGGAGCTGGAGCCATCATAAGGGCTGGAAAAGGGGATGCAGCGATGAGTGTGTGTGTGCGCGCACACCTTGCCTGGGCGCTCGTTCATGCGCTTGTGCGCGTGCCCGTGCGCGTGCAGGTGTGCGGCAGCAGCTGTGCACATCTGGGGTGCTCGGAGGGGCTGTGCCGGTGTGTTCGGTGTCGTGCACTTGTATATGGGGGGGGTACACGCTGAGTGCGGAAACGTGAACCCAGCTGCGCACCTGAACCCAGCTGCGCGCGCGCACGGGGCGGTGCACGAGGGATGGTGCACGGGGGCGCGCACGGGGTGGGGGGGTACCGGGTGCGCAAGGAGCGCTCCCCGCTCCGCGCCGCTCGCACCTCCCCTCCCGCTCCCGGCCCTATACTGCCCCCTGCCGGCCGCGCCGCAGCCCCGCCCCTCCCGGCACAACCAGCGACTTCCGCTTCCGGCGGCGGCCCGGGGCAGGTGAGCGGCGGCGGCTGCGGTAAGGAGCGAGCTCCGGGTGGTGCCGGGAGGCCCGGATCCCCTCTCGTGAGGCCCCGCGGGTGTTGCCGGGGCTCTTCGGTTCGTTATCGGCCGCTGGGGTGAGGGTTTCTGGGCCTTCGCGCTCGCTCCCGCGGGTGCAGTGAGGTCTGGGGGCTCCTCGCGTCGCACCGGGTTTGTTTTGTCGGTGAGGGCCCGGCCTCGGGCTGCTCCAGCTTTAATCCATCCCCAAGGGCAGGCGGGGGGTGCTGGTTGCAGCGCTCGGGGGCTCCTCGCTGCTCTGGTCACCTTTCCCTTGGCACCCTATGCGCTTGGGGCAGGGTCGGTGTGTGCAGCCGGGGTTTGCCCCGAGCCTGGGCTGTGCCCGGTGCTGGGTGTTCCTGCACCCGGATAACTGCGGTCTGCAGCTCTGTGTGCGGGAGATAATTTGGCTGTGTGGGAGGAGGTGGCTGCTCACATAAGGAGGGAGGGAAGGAGGGAGGCTGGGCTGTTTTCTGCATGCAAAACTGCTGGGAATGCTGGTTTGTTTTAAAGGGAAGGAAGGGACCTTTGGAAACCAGGCAGCGCCGCTGGAGACGTGCGTGAGGGGAGACATCACTGCCATGCTGGAGGCCCCTGCGTGGTCTGTGCGTGTAGCAAAGGACGATGCCTTTCCTGCACGGCTTCCGCAGGATCATCTTCGAGTACCAGCCCCTGGTGGACGAGCTGTTGGGGCTGCTGGTGATACAGGATGTGGAAGGGCAGGGTGCTCTTGAGAGGTAACTGGATGGGCTCAAACACCCCCTTGGTGTTTTGGGGGGTGACAGCTGGAGCTCAGTGATGGGACTGAGGTCAGACATGGCCCTGGCTGGGAGCAAACCCCAGTCCCATCATACAGACCCTCCTTTTGCTGCTGTTGTTTGGAATGGAGGGGAGAGCAGAGCTAACCTGGGCAGTACCCATGCTCCCAAGAGCAGCCCTTTCTGCTTGACCGCTGGCAATAAAACCTAAACGGGTTTAGCTGCGACCCTGATGCTGTTGCACAATCCCACAGCCAACAGCTTAGAAGTGGTCGTTATGAGGCGAGAGGGGAAACCTCTCGAGGCCTCTTCTTCCCTGGTGCTACTTTGACCCCCACACCCCCATGGGATGTCTGTGATTGAGTAAGTGGCTGTTTTTGTGTCTCAAGCCCTGCCTGTCTGGGCAGCGACCGGAGCCAGCTCTCAGCTGTGAGACGGGTCTTGGAGAGGGAGACGCACTCCCCGTTCTATCAGGAAGGTGTGAGCTATGCCCTGCTGAAGGTCACCGAGCTGGGGCTCGTTCCCGCTGCAGAAATCCTCCTGGAGTTTGGAGCAGACCTCAGCTTTGAAGGTGAGAATGGTGGGAAGCGGCAGCGGTGATAACTGGGGCTGAAAGAGAGGGTGCTGGCAGCCCAGACCCCCGCTCCTTGCTGGGATGCCATGGGTGGGCCTTGTGCAGACCCAGACCCAGGGATGGGGGGCTTTTGCCAGAGATGGAGCCATTGCAAAGCAGGACCCAGGGAGCTGTGACAGCCCTGTTTTCATGGGCATCGCTGTGTCCTCAGGGCCCTTCCCAGTTGGACCCTTCCACTTCTGGCTCATGTCTGGGCTGTTCTGGGAAGCCCTTTGTTCTCTCTGACCCTGTGTTTTGTCCTCAGATCCAGTCACCTACTACACCTCCCTGCACATCGCTGTGCTCCGCAACCAGCCCGATATGGTGGAGCTCTTGGTGCACCACGGGGCTGACATCAACCGGAGAGACCGGGTACGGACATGGCCACGCTGAGTCCCCTTGAGACTTACGTGCAAGGGGCTGGCGTGTGGGGACAGCTCTCCTTGCTCCCCACCTCCTGGGATTCACTGCATGCCCCTTCCCCTTGGCAACCTGCTGTGCCAATGGTCTGTAGCACTGATGCTGTGGCAGAAGCTCAGGTTGCCTTTGGCTGAGCAAACCTGCTTCTTCCATGGAGCAGTGGGTGGGAGGAGACAAACCTGTGCCTATGGATACATCAGGGAAGGCTCCCTTTGGTTTTGTGGGGTGGGTTCAGATATGCTCTTATGTTGGCCGTGATGGAGCCCCAGCAGGAGGCACTCACAAATGGTCTTTAATACATACTGGTGATTTGATTTCCCTCTTGCTCTGTGCAGATCCATGAGAGCAGCCCCCTCGACCTGGCCAGCGAGGAGCCGGAGCGGTTGCCGTGTCTCCAGCGGCTGCTTCAGCTGGGGGCCGATGTCAACACAGCTGACAAAAACGGTTTGTGTGCCCCATGCAGCACCCCCAGCCCCAGCAGGCAGCCCTCATGGGTGGGCTGGAGTGGGACAGGGGGTCTGGGCCCTTCCATCTTTCTGCTGTGAGCATGGTTTGGAAGTTGGGTGCAGGCTGGTGCTCTGTGTTTCCTCCTTGCTGCTGCCTGTGTCAGGTGCAGAAGGGGGCTGAGACCAGCTCCATGCAGGCAACGCCAAATGGGAAGGGGTTGTGCCTCCATAGCCCTGTGGAGCCCATGTGGCACATAATGCCCTCTGGGGCCACTACCAGTCCCGCAAGTGTGGCCTGTCCCCACAGCTCTGCACCATCATGGGATCAGTGGAAGCCTGCCAGAAGGAGAAGCATTGTCTCTCCCATGTTCAGCTGTCTGTTTGGTGGGGTGGATTGTTTTCCTTCCTGCCTTTTGGGCTGTCACCCTGTTTTCATCTGACTGACTGCTCCATTGCAGGAAAGACAGCGCTGTTGCATGCCCTGGCCAGCAGCGACGGTGTCCAGATCCACAACACTGAGAGCATCCGTCTCCTGCTGGAAGGAGGTGAGAATCACCTTTGTCTCTCTCCACCCACAACCTCTCCAGGGCTAGTTCTGCCTGATTCTTTGTCCTTTATGTTCCTGCTTGAGCAAGGGCAAAGCCCAGCAGTGCCAGAGTTAGTGCTGTCCTTGCCTCGTGGTCTGCAGCACCGGTTACCTTCTCTGTCCCTTCCTCCAGGTGCAGATGTCAGGGCCACCACCAAAGACGGTGACACTGTCTTCACCTACGTTATCTTCCTGCTGGGAGAGATGGTGTGCAGCAGCAGCGAGGAGGCACAGGTCATCAGCCGCTTCTGCTTCCGTGTCACACAGCTGCTGCTGGCCCACGGTGCCAACCCCAGCGAGTGCCCGGCCCCGGAGTCCCTCACCCACCTCTGCTTCAAAAGCTTCAAGAGCCACTTCCCGCTGCTGCGTTTCTTGCTGGAGTCGGGTGCTGCCTACAACTGCTCCCTCCATGGTCCCTCGTGCTGGTCCGGCTTCCACATCATCTTCGAGTGCCTCTGCTCGCACCTCAGCGTCTCCGAAGACGACAGCTTCTTTACAGACCTCATCCAGAAGGGCCAGACTCTGCTGGAGCTCATGATGGCCAGTTCACAAGCCATCCAGCTGCCCAGCAACTTTGAGGTCAACACCAGCACCTGTAGGTACCACGGGGAGAAGATCCGGACTCTCTTCTGCTCTCTGAAGCAGCTGGAGCGCTCCCCACAGGCACTGAAGCATCTCTGCAGGGTGTTCATCCGGCAGCGCCTTAAACCGTGGCCAGTAGATGTTAAAATCAAGGCTCTACCTCTTCCAGACAGGCTGAAGTGGTACCTCCTCATTGACCACACTGCTGCCGGGCAGGAGGACCTCTGAGCCTGACTTGCACTTCTCTGTGTGCCACCAAATCTCTGCCCTGGGACCGTTTTCTCTGCAGCAGGAGGTGTTGCTGTCCATGGTTTGGGCATAAGGCCACATGCACATCTGTGGAGGCCCCATTGCTCTGGAGCATCTCATGGGGAAGTGGGCAGAGCTCTGTGGCTCTCTGGACATTGGGGAGCTGGACCGTGGCGCAGGGGGCTGGTTTGTGTGGGTTTTAAAGGAAGGGCTGGTGGGGAGGAGCAGTGGGGTGGTTGGGGCAGTGTGGCTGGGCAGAAATAGCCTGGCCCCTGGCCTTCCAGCCCTGCCAGGTCCAGGGTGGGTGAAATGGAGATGCTTTGGGGTGCTGGGGGAAGAGGTGCTCCCGGTCTCCTCCCTCTGGTCATGGTGGAGGCAAGCCTGGCTTCTTGGTGTGGTTCCACACCCTCATCCTCCCAGCACAGAGGACCATCCACCAAGGACATCTTGGAGGTGCTGGGCTCCAAAACACACAGACAACTGGATGTTTCTCTGCTTTGTGGTGTGCTCCCTTGTGCAAGGATAGAGGAATGGGTGGCTGACTGCTGAGTGCCTTGGCCTCCCTCCCTGTTCCTCAGCTCTTTCTGTCACTCAGTGCTCCCAGGACCTTGGTCTCCAGTGCCTACTTCCTAGGAACAAGGACTTGCAGCAGGACTCGGGGTCTTCTTGCCAACCTGCTGCTGAAGCCTGCACACTCTGGGAGCCCCATGTCCCAGCCTTGCCACGTTTGTCTGCCTTCCCTTCCAGGCATCGGCTTCCTTGTGCCATGCCAAAAACTGGCTTTGGAGCTGAGCCTCCCTGTTTGTTGGTTTGGTTTTTGTCATGGAGGACAGGAAAATGCAGAAGGGGATGAAAAGAGGAAAAACCCTATTCTGAGCAGGTTGGTTGTAACAGGTGGATCTGGGATCCACCAGCAGCTTGGCTGTGGCAGGGCTGTCTCCTCCCATTGCTCTCCTGTGTTTTCCCTTCTCCCACCCTGTGGAACTGGAGCTCTGCATCTTGATGAATTTATGTTTAAAGAAAATAATAATGTCATCAAGTACTCCCCTGGTGTCTGGAATGGGAAATGAGCGATTAAATGAGGCCTTCTGTAATAGCAACAAGGGGGTTGTTTCTCCTGCAGGAGATGGGGTGGAAGAGGGGGGATGGTGTGTGATGGACAGGTTGCAACTGGGGCCTCTGCTGGGGTCACCCTCTTGTGCCAGTGTTGGCTGAGGTGTGCTGGGTTTGGTGGGCACAAGCTGATGGCCAGACTTGGGGTAAATGATGGCCAAGAGGAGATGGGTGACACTGGGAGGTGTTGGGGCTGAAAGTGCTGGGTATCACTGTGAGCCTGCAGCAGCAGCACACAGCGGAGTCCCTGTTCATGCCTGGAGCACACCAGTGTTCTCCCAGGGCTGCAATTGAGTTACCCATTACTGGAGGAGAATGGGAAGAGGCAGGATTCCCTCCACCTCCCATTCTGGGGAGACCTGTTCATGGGTTTAAAGGAGAGGCCCCTGCCAAACCCCAGAACCTGGTGTTGCCTCCCCAGCGCACCGCAGGGCAATGGCAGAGATTCCTCCCACTTGCCGTTCCCAGCTTGCTGCTGTCAGTAGCAGCAAGTTCAACAGCAGCAAAGGGCCAAACACCCAGGCAAGGAACAGAGCCCGAATGTCACAGAGGTACCCTGTGCTCCTGCTCCTCAGCAGGAGTCCTGTGCAGCTGCAGTGTCAGCAATGTGCCAGCGCCCAGTAGCACACATCTTGGCAGGGGATACCCTCTTGCTCCCCTCCAGAGCCCCTGAAGGTGGCATCAAGCCAAGGCGCAGTGTCCCACAAAGCCCACGTGCAGGAGTGCAACAGCAGGGAAGTGTATTTGGCAAACACCTCTTCACAAACAGCAGCAATGTGGAAGACAAAGCCCCGTCCTCGCCACCAGCCCCACCGAGAGGGAGTCACGGCACCCTCGCAGCCATTCGCCGCCCTGCGGTGAAGGCACGGTCCTCACCCCTCCTTGGCCCCGGCAGGAACCGCGCTGTGCTGGCCCTGGAGAGACCTCCTCCTGCTGCCCTCATCTCATGGCGAAGGTGTAGACGTGGTAGATCTCATCCGGGAAGTTCTCCTGGCGCTCCTCGGCCAGGAGGTGCAGCCCAGCTCGGCGGATGATCTTCCTGACCACATCCAGGTCCCGGCACACGCTGCTGTCCACATCATCCATGATGACTCCCTCCTGAGCCATGTTGTCCTTGATGACCACGATGCCGTTGGGCCGCAGGCCGGCACGGCACCGCTTCAGGAAGTCAGAGAGGTGGCTGTCGGTGAGATGGCCTGGAGGGGCAGAGCAGGGGTTAGAGGGTACAGGGTGATGGGCAGGAGGAGAAGGGAGGAGCAGCGGGAGGTTGTGGTTGGGATCCCTCCTTATCCAAGCAGCAAAATAAAGTCAATTGCAGGTGAAAGCTTTAGCTTGGGGGTGCCCAACTTCTGTCCCACTATCCAACTCCATCCAACCCACACCTCTGCCCTTTGAGGGCATGGAGAACAGACCCCTCAATACAGTGCCCTCGGAGCGCTGCTCCACGGGGTAGGGATGGAAGGGCAGGTCCCAACCCAGCCTCCCCTACTTGTGATGCTCATCCTTCATGCAGACCCTGAGCTGCTCTCCCCAGTGCACGGGGCACCCTGGGGACAAGTTGTGAAGAGCCCCTCACCAATGACCCACTGGATCCAGATGACATCGTAGGTGTTCGGCTCGGGGCTGAAGTCCTGGAGGCCGCAGCAGAAGTAGTTGCGCACCCGCCTGCCCTCCTCTCCCAGGTAGCTCTTGGCCTTGGTGAGGAAGTCCTCTGTCACATCCACCATGTCCACTGTCTTGAAGAGGGGCAGCAGCAACCGCTTGGTGATCCGGCCGATCCCTGCCCCGCAGTCCAGAGCACGGGTTGTCCCTGTCCGGTTGGGGCCATCCTGGAACCACCACCACGAGGGGCTGAATCCCACCACAAGGTACACACAGAAACATGGGGCAACCATGTGGGATGGGGCTTAGGGTATGGGGACCCATTGCAAGCAAAGCTCTCCCAGCACGCATACAATGGAGGATCCCATGGAACGATTGGGTGGGAAGAGCCGAGCTCTGTGCTGGGAGAAGGATGGGGCTTTGGGAACATGATGGGAACATGACAGATGGTGCCACCTACCCGCAGAAACCGCTGCAGGAACCTCCTGGAGCTGTTGATGTCGATGCTGGAGATGTGGCCGTAGCCCCCCAGCATGCCATCCACCGTGGCTGGCACGGCCTTCCAGTACTTCTTGGCCTTGGAGTAGAACTCCAGCTCGTTCTCCACCACCTCACTGCTCATGGTGGCCGAGGGGCACGTGCCCGCGTGGGACTCGCTGCTCCTCAAGACAGGGGAGAAACCACGGGTCAGGCACAACAGAGCCACAGGCACAAGCAGGGAGGTGACTGTCAGCTCCAAGTACCCCAGTTTGTACTGAGCACCCCTTCCCCAGGGGTGCTGTAAACCCCCCAAACCTCCACCTGGATAAGAAGGAACAAAGATCTAAATCCTGATGTTTTCTGGAGGACCACCAAGCCCGAAGGGCTGCCTCAGCTGGACCAGGCCTCCTGGAGCCTTGCTCAACACCACACACAATTATATCGCTATTGTTTTTAAGGCTGACCCACACTTTCCACCTATTCTACCTCTTTTTTCCCCTCTGTCTTAATGTTTTAGAGATTACAGCTCACGCCCCCACCAGTCACCTCCAGTTACACCTGGACTTGCTCAAAGTTCTCTTAAGCACCTACCCGGGGACCATAGGTTAGGTATTTGCAATATAATAAAGTCAAGGTATAATCAGCAACACAAGGGATAAATCCTCACCCCCCTCAGGCATCTCACAATTCAAACCACTGTGGATTTGATAAACTGTGCTGGGGATTAGCAGCTAGACTGAAGGTGGCCAAAGGGTAAATTCAAGGACTTGGAACACCCAGTTTCCAGTGTTCCTGGCTTGAATTTGCTGGCAGATACCCCATTAAGACACAAAACCTTTCCTGTGCCAGCTTCAGCAGTTTTGGTGGCCCTGTGTGGTCTTCGGCAGCCTGGGGATGGAGCAGGGGGATGCAGCATCTCACCTGAGGGATCACAGCTTGAAATCCAGTTTGGCTCAGTGGTGGCAGGAGCTGGCCTGGGAGAAGAACAGACCCAAATCACCCCTTTAGTCCCGGTGCACATAAGCAGGGTAAGAGCTGCCCTGGTCCCCCAGGCATCCTGGGGCAGTTGTGGGGCAGGAGCTGCCCCATGGCTCAGAGGTGACAGGAGGCCGAGCTGGAAGCTTTTGGCTTCGCTGCTGTCTGACCTCGCCGGTTAGGACCTGCATTCACCGCCCCCCCTTCCTTGGCTCTGGGTTTGACTCTCCCAGGCCCAGAGCCCCCAGCAGGCGGCTCTGCCACCGGCACGGCCCCGGCTGCCGGCTCCCTCCTCCCCGCTGTGAGAGCCCGGAACGTGGCAGCGCGCAGGTACCCACAGCCATGGGCAGAGACCACCTGGACCCCGCCGCCATTGGGATGTGCGGGGGCCACAAGTACTCGATCCCTGGGGCCATTTGCAGACCGGGGGTGGCAGGAAAAGGGGTGCCCGTGTGGGGGATCCTGGGGTCCCCACCCCGGGGCTGAGGGGGCCCTCCCGTGGGGTGCGCGGTTCAAGGCCGTTTCCCCGGTACCCCCCATCGGGCCCGGGGCCCACCCGCTGGGCTCCCCCAGGGGACCCCGGCATCTCCTCCCTCCCCGGCCTCCCCCGTTGCTGCGGGCACGGCCGGGGGGGTCCCGGGGGGTCCCTCCCGCTCCCTCGGCCCGGGTGGCCGCGACCTCCGGCTCTCCCCGGTTACCTCCGGCGGCGGCCGTGCTGCTGCGTCCGGCCCCGCCTACCGCCGTGAAGGGCAGCTACGGGAACCAATCAGAAGGCGGCGTTTGCCGTGACGTCAGGATGATGTCAGCGCAGGGGGCGGGCTTTCCTACCGGCTGCTCGCGTTAGGGGGGGGTCCGCGGTGGGACGGGGCGGCCCCGGGGGAGCCGCGGGGCGGGCACGGAGGGGACCGGACCCGGCGCTGCCCCAGGGCGGCTTCGCGCTGCGCCCCCCGCCCCGGAGCCGTGGGGATGGGGGCAGGCGGGTGCGGTGGCACCGGGGGTGTGCGCGGGGGCCTCGGGGTAACCGGGACACGGCAACCGGGACACGGCGGTGGGGCTGCCCGGTCCCGCTGCCCCCGGCCCTGTCCCGTCCCGTTCGCACTCGCCGCGGCCACGCGGGGCCGCTGTTGTCCCGCCGTTGCGCTGCTGCTGTCGAGGGAACTTCGCTGCTGCTTGAGGGCAGGGACGGACGGGACCGGCCCCGCGCGTACCCCGGCTCTGAACGCCCCGCACCGGGCACCTGCCCCCCCCTCCAACCTACCCCATACCCATCGCGGGGCACCGCTCCCACCGCTCCCAAGCGATGCCCCTGCCCCGTCCAGCTGGGCCAGCGTGGGGAGGTGAGACCCGGCAGCCTCAGCACTGGTCCTCCCTGCGCTGCACCTCTGCAGGCCAGGATGCAGATGAGAGCATCTCCTCTGGGACCCCCGTCCCCGCGGGCACCATCCCACCGCATCGCCTCCTTTCGGTACCCCAGAGGACACGGGTGACACCACGACTCCCATGGAGAGGGAGTCCCCAAGGCCTTCAGAAGGGGATTGCTATGGGGACAATGACAGCGATGGAACTGGGTTGGCTGGGGAAAGGAGGTCGGTGTGGATTCTCTTGTCTTAATACAGGGCAAGTCCTTCCCTTCCCTTCCCCAGACCCCAACTTGCACAAAACCTGTAGGCACAAAATCTGCTTGAAATCACCCAAAGCGTTCGGAAGGCAGTGGCAATGGGACAATGCTGCATGGACACGAGGGGAGTGGGACCCGTTCCCACACAGCCAGCACCCACTTACACCCCCAAATGTCCTAATAGCCCCAGCAAGGCCTTGCTGTCCCCAGACCAGAGTTGCTCACCCCAAAATCCATGGCACAACCAGGATGCAGCTGCTATGCCAGCACCCCTTGCCATGCTCCCATGGTGCCTACGTGGAAAGCAAAGGGAGATCCCACCTTTGGGAAGCAGCTGTGACCCTGGGACAGCTTTTGGTCCCTGGGAAAGGCCCTGAGCATGCTTGAGGGTGCCAGTGACTCCAGACAGGGGCTGATGGCAGGGGCTGGGAGCACCCATGTAGTTGGCTTCAGATCTGGGAATGCTGCTTGCACCCGGTTTGCTTTCCAGATTTTAAAGCAATGAGGCTGCTACCAAGGTAAGGACACTGAACACAGGGCTGATCCCAGGATGGGCTGGAGTTCGGGGAGGTGCATGGTGATGAGCTCCCCACACACACAGGCACTTGGACCACCAAACCCCATCAGTTTTCCCCTTCCCGAAGCCACCAGCAGCCGTTGCATTGAGCTGGTTGTCATCTGCACTTTCAAGCGGGCTGTGGGAGTCCACATCCCATCCATGTCACCTATTTCCCATGGGAGCCTACTGTATTTGTTCCCCTGCTTCCCCCCCCAAAAAGCCAGTTTTCTCCTTCTCTTTATCATGCTGCACTGAGGCTCCTTAAGACCTTTTCCGTCAAGCCCCAGCCACCACCTCCATCCTTCCCCACCACTGAAGCCCTTCATGGTGGCAGGGAGGGGACAGTGCTGAGGCTCTGCTCCAGCCCCTCAGATTACAACGGTGCCACCAGCATTGCTCTCTGTCCTCGCTTTCCCACCTAAAACTCCACCTGCATCCGGCCCCTGCTCCCACAGCAGAAGAGCCAGGACAGCAACCTGGTGCTGGGCATCTTCTGCACACACAGAGCTCCGCAGTGATTGCCTTGAACGGGCCGATCTGCTTGCAAATGTTCCCTTTGATTTTATATCCTAAGTATTAAGGCAACAGAGTGTGGCTGGAAATTAAGAGAGGAAAAAGAACCCGGTTGAGCATCCCTCAGCTCCCCTGACCCTAGCAAAGAGCAGGGGCTGAGGACAAGGGTCCCCCCATTGAGGATGTGCTGCTGAGCCCCACTTTCCGCTGGAGCCGGCTCCAACCTCGGGGCCAGTTCGTGCGCAGCCAAGGCTGCACAACCCGAGTGAGGAGCCGCGGCTCCAGCAGCCGCCCGCTCCCCTCCGAGGCTCAGCTGCCTCCCTGTGGCCGCTGCTTTGCCTCTGACCGGTTTCAGTCTCCTCACTCAGTGACTCCTTGTGCTACGAGACAGAAAGCACCCCCCAAACCCCCTTCTCCAGCCCATTTGTTTCCCTGCACACTCTCCTCCTGCTCCCACTCACTCACTGCCTTTCAGGGTAATCACCAGCACCGCAGTCCCTCTTCAGGAATATATCTATATATACATATATATGTATTTTTCTTTTCCCCAGGTGCTTAATCACCCTTATTACCCTTTTCTGATTAATTAAGTCTAATTAATTTTGCACTATCGTTTTCGAGGAGAGGTGACCAGGGTGGCACATGTTGTTGCAGGTGATTTGCAAGGCAGGTCCTGCAGTGCCAGCACAGCCCTTCTCTCGCTGGCATTTAACCTGGGTCAGGGCACCTTCTGCCCTATTTGCTGCCATTAATGGCAATTAATAGAGCAGTGAAACCCTCTGAGACCCTGGGAAGAGCCCCGAGGTACTCTGCTGGTACTCACATGGGATGTTCCCATCTCCTTTGCTCTGCTGAGGATGCCGGGTTTGACCTTGGCCAAACCTGCCCCTGCATCCTTCAGCCACCCCTGAGCCAAGGCTTGGGAAGTCAGAATGGGTTAGGTCAGGGCTTCTCCTTGCACTGCCAAGAGCCACCAAGATGCTCAGAGGGGTGGTGGAGACACAGGTCCCTTTGCACCAGCCATGCTCCATCACCTCACATCTCTCAGCACTGGTGCCAGCCCTTCTTTGAGTCTTGGCACTGGCTTTTAGGGCTTGGATTCGATACCTCCAGAGGTTCCTTCCACCCTAATGATTCTGTGATTCAACCTCTGTGTTGTCCTGGGGCCTGACATGGTTTGGGTGATCTTACCCCTAAATACCCATAATATGTCAGCATCCCTTTGCTGTCTGTCCCAGTGGCTGGTACCATCCATCCCACCTTGCTCCCTCAGCCACTGGCTCTCGCTGGGAGGCTGAAGCATCCCCACCAACAGTGCTGAACCCCCAGCAGCCCAAATAGAGAACATGTCTTTATTATATATAGTGTAATATATGTGATACACTACATAGCAGATAATAGATATAGTCTGGTAGTATATATATATATGTATAAATATAAAAAACCTCTATGCACTGTGTGTACAATATTGTGAATGTAACTGTGATTTATGTGTATATACAGATATATAGTGTATATACAGATATATAGTGTAAATGGACCATTTATGCCTATATGTACCTACATAGATAAAAATATGCATATACACATACACATATATACAGCATACCATACACACCACACATATATACCCATATATTTACACCCCAGATAGGGGCATATGCATGTAGGGATATGCACATGGTTACATACATATGTATACACACCACTGTATACACATATATGAAACATTTTAATGTATGTATACATGTGTACATGGTATGGTGGGGGAAAGAGGGACAGAGAGAGTACATATATGTGTGTATATATATATATAACGTGTGTGTGTGTAGTGTATAGTGAGGCTGTGTTGGCTCTGTGGCTGGTGCAGGGCAATGGGGAGGAAGAGGAAAGGGAAGGGGAAGAGGAAGACACAGAGGCAAGCACACAGCAGGCAGGAAGAGGGTGAATACAAACTGCTCCGAGTTCCAAACGCTCCCCTCTTTGATTAATTGTACTTTCTGTTTGATAAATGGGACTTGTGAGTATAAAATATGCAAAGCACTTTGCAAGTTCTCACTGTTTAAAGAACTCAACCAACGGCATTAAAATGTGATGATCCCACCCGAGCTGCTGAACTGCAGCCTGGCAGTGCTGCTGGGAGCTGTGCCATGGCCACAGTGACCACAGGGGCTCCAGTGCATCACCTGGACCCCAGAACAGGGGGGTTCTGGCATTGCTGAGCCCTGGTGCAGCAGTGCAGCATCCCCATCTGTGATCCCCTGCCATGAACAGTGAGTGTGCTGGGGAGGGTGCAGTGTGTGCACAAGGAGGATGCAGTGTGTACTTTAGGAGGATGC